CTGGCGGCTCCCCGCCCCCCCTCGAAACGGGCGCCCGTCGGCAGGTTCCCCGCCGGGCGCGGCCCGTGGACGGCCCACTCTTCCTCCTCCTCCTCCTCCTCCTCCTCCTCCTCCTCCTCCTCCTCCTCCTCCTCCTCTTCCTCCTCCTCCTCCTCCTCCTCCTCCTCCTCCTCCTCCTCCTCCTCCTCTCCTCCTCCTCCCCCCCCCCCCTCCTCCCCCCTCCTCCTCCTCCTCCACCTCCTCCTCCTCCTCCTCCTCCTCCTCCTCCTCCTCCTCCTCCTGAAGGCCTCTTCGCCCTCCCGCCTCGCGCCCCGCGATGTGCGACGCGCGGCTGTCTCTTCGCGCCCCCGCGCCGACCCGCCCTTCAGAAGAGCGCCTCCCAAAAGCTCTGCGGCCCAGGCCGCGGTGCGCGAAGCGCGGTCATCCTCGCGGATGCTCCTGCTGGCAACGCTTGAGATTAGGTCGGGCATGTCCTCCCACAGGCGGGTTTTGGAAGACAAAGAACAAATAGTGAACAATTGCTCAGCAACGGTCCAGAGACGATGTGTTAACTATTTTTGGATCTTCCTCCTGTTCAGGGACATGCCCGACTTCAGCTCAAGGGCGGCACGCCTTCCACACTAAGACGAGGCCAGGCGCAGCGGCCGTTCCCGAGCGCTCTGGAACGCTCCGAGAGCGTCCCAGGACGATTCATCCCAGCCCCGCCCCCGCCCGACACCCCAGCCCCTTCTGACGTAGGGATGACCCCAAAGCGTGGCCCCTGTTGGGAACTCTCGGCCCTGCACACCGACTGGCCTTCGCGCCGTGCGGCGTGACCGTGTGGGCAACGTCGGCCAAGGAGGGCCCCTAGAGTTGTGGATGGCATGACAAAGGACACTGTAACAATCCTATCGTTGAATTACAGATGTGTTTAACATGTGTAAAACATGTTCTCATGGCTCAAACATGTTTTTCACATGTTTAAAACATATTTGCAGCATGGAAAATATTTGGCAGCATGCTTCCTCTCTCTCTGTTCATCGACTTCCACAACCCTGGAGCTCCAGATTCAGAAACTGGTGTCTCGGAGGGCGCTGGGCGCCTGGGCTCGGCCGCGGCCACCAGCCGCCCCAGAAGGCTCTCGACGAGGTGGAGGAAACGGCTGGAAGACAGGCCCTCCTCCCTTCGCTAGCGTCGGCAGCAGCATCCGCAATCCACGGAACGCAGAACCTACAGCAAAGAGAGGAGAAGAGAGGACATATCATACTGGCGTGCCTAACTTCATCGCTTGCTGACATCTCCGCGGGGCGCTGCGCCCGAAGTGGTGACTTCTCACACTCGGATCGCGGCCTTCTTTGAGGAGGGCAAGAGACCGCGCAGCATGCCCGCTCCCCACCACGTCGTGGTTTTTTCATTACAACGTCCACCCCCAGAGGTCTCGACCCCTTCCCCGGGACCGGTTTTTCATCCCGAGTCGTCTTTTGACAGTCCCAGGGCCCGGTAAGGGCCCCCAGGGGCAGAAAACAACGAAAAGTCTCTCGTCGTCCACGTCTGGGTCTGGGTCCACGTCCTCCCCCCTTCCCTCCCCATCACCCCTCCCTCTTCAAGCTCCATGCTCACCCCTCCCGTTTCCACCTCCACGGCGGTGGGAAGCTGGGCCTTCGCTGGCCCCCAGGGCGGTCGCGGCGTTTCGCGCGGAATCGGCCTGTCTCAGCTTCGAGCTCGGAAAGGGGCAGGCCAGAGTGGGAGGGCGGATTGGTCGGCCTGCAGTCCAAGTCACGGGGGCAAGGAAAGTGCGCCACGGGGGAGGGGGAGGAGGAGGAGGAGGAGGAGGAGGAGGAGGAGGAGGAGGAGGAGGAGGAGATGGAGGAAGAGGAGACGGAGGAGGAGGAGGAGGAGGAAGAAGAAGAAGAAGAGGAGGAGGAGGAGGAGGAGGAGGAAGAAGAAGAGGAGGAGGAGGAGGAACGGGGGGGAGGAGGAGTCTGTCTGTCTGTCTTCCCCATTCGAGCTAAACGATCTCCACACACATGCACGCTTTGGGTTTAGGCTCTCGTAGCCGATCTCATCCTGAAGGGGCATCCACACTCCCAAGAGTACATACAAACATCAAACCGTTTGCTGTCAAGGGCTTCTGGGAACGGCGCCCAGCGCTTCGCTGGCAAGCCCCACGCGGGGCAGGCCTATCTGGCCGTAGGAAGAGGCGGGACCATTGAACCCCGGGGCGAGAGGGACACAAAGGCCACTCCCCTCCCCCAGGGACGAGTGGCCCCAGCCCCTTCCCCCGCCTCCGAAACAAAAACAGATCTACTTCTCGGTTTTGACCAACCTAACTAATTTGCTCCTAGGGGCACGACCAGGCTTATTGTTGAAGCCCGAAGCCCGAAACAATTGATACAAAACGCGCTCTACTGTTCTTACTTTGACAGCGGCGGCGCCTAATTCACTCGAGAGGAGAACGAACGACGCGCGCCCCTGCCTTGTCCTTTGCGCCCTGCTCGGCCCCCACGTCCCCGAGAATGTCCCAGTAGCTCTTTTGCTCCTGCAGCGGCGTTTCCTGGGATGCCTCCACGGTGAGCGTGATAGATCCGAGGGCCTTGACCGTGATCCTCGAAATTCCTTCGTCCTGAGTGTTCGATGCGCCGCATTCGTTGATCCACGGGCTCGCCGTCGGCATGTCCGTGTGCTTCATCATCAGCAGTAGACGATCTGGCACCTCTGAATTCTGCGCCGCGCCCTGCTGCTCGAGCCACCCGCTGAAACCGCTCAGAAGTGCGCCAAAACCCTGCAGTTCTGGTGGGCCCAGTCCATGAGTGTTGGCTTTTCCCTCTACTTTCTCCTGGTCGTCGCTGTACGTCGTCTTCAACATTGCGACTGGAAACGAATCGCTGTGCCCGCATTCTGTCAATCCCGATCCGAACTCCAGCGTCCTCATGCGGCGCTCGAGCAGTCGTAGAAGCTTGGCGTTGACGTGTCCGCCCCCTGGCTTGTCCACCCGCCAATGTTTGCCCCGTTGGTCTCCTTCCGCCGCCTCGGGCCCCCTCTTGAGAGCCGGCGCCAAGATCCGGCCTGCGTCCGCCATGTCCCCCCTGCCCCTCGGCCCACGAAATGGCCTCGCTGAGGCCGGGCAGCTCAAACTCAAGTACGTGAGAAGTCAAGTGTGGCTGAAGATGCCCGACCAGTAAATGTCTACGGAGATCACCATTGTCGAGAGCGACGTAGTCACAGGCTGGGCATTCGCACAATTTTGGCTGGATGATATTTCCGTCAGCGCGGCCTTTGTCTACATAACATACACCTCGAATCATGCTGTTATCCATGCGCCTCTTGGCATAGTCGATGGGCCAGAAATTGGAGCCGCGCGTTACGCGCTGACTTGATGCACAACACATTCGCCCAAGTAGCTGCTGCCCGCGCGCGCGCCCCCCCCCCCCCCCCCCCCCAACACCTGGCAATCAGAGAGCGCGCTGCCAACTGCATTGTTGTTTGTAACCTTTTATTGCAGATCTCCCCGTCGCCCGCGAGCGCCGCGCAACGGCGCGGCCCACCCTTCTCAATCTCCTCCTGTTTGTGATCGTGCTGTTTGATTGATGTTCAGAATGTAGTCTGCCCTGGTCGCCCCCAGGTCTCCGTGGTCTTAGCGGGCGAACTCCTCCCTCCCCATCGTGCAGTATCTCCTCCACTCCATCCATTTCTAGTAGCCTAGCTCCGTCGTCGAATAGCTCGACTGCCTTGATATCGTCGAGCAGCTGCTCGCACCCGGGGTTCGCTTTCTCGCCGTCACCCGCGCACCCGTCGATCTCGGTCGTTCCGTCGCCCCAGGAGCGCCCGAAAACCAACGCCAAAAACTGGGCAAACCTCGTGTGGTGCTTTAGGCGTTGCTGAAGCCATCGAAGCCTTCGGGCCCCCACCTCGACGCGCGGGGCTGCTAGACAAACTTTAGCTAAGGCCTGGGGGTGGAAAAAGGTTCGGATGGTGCCATCGTCCTTTTGTTCTTCAACACCCCTCTTGGGCATCTTTGCGCGCATGGCGTGGGAGCTGAGGATGGGCTGCCAGTCTTGTGCTCGCATGGGCCCATGCTTTGAAAATAAAACTTCGGCTCCGCTGTGGCAAGCATTGGCCGCGCATCATTTGCGCAAATTTATCTTCCATGCAAAGGAGACACTGCCACTCCAGAACTTGATACGATTGCACCAGGCCGCTCTCCCAGCTGTTAGTCTGCGCTCGATCTGGCAGAGAGCATGCCCGGCATGGATCCGCGGCTCCAGGTGCCGCGCAAAAAACTGCAGCCCCCCCCCCCCCCTTGAAAAAAGCTGCCCACGCAGAAACTTCGCCTCGATATATATTGAGTTTGGCCTGCCAGATAAAGAAGATGCACCTGCTTGGCGACGTTGTGTGCCATCATCACCTCCGTCATTATGCCCGTCATTGTCTGCTTCAGATGAATGCCTGCAGCAACGATGCTCTCTGCGCTGTTGTCCAACGTCGAAGTTGTCGGCTGCGTCGCCCACAAGGAGCGCGACAGCTGCCTGTGCGCACTTTTTGGCCCAAGGACATCGGAAACTGCTCTGCTTGTAGTTATTGGCGCTAATCGATCCCACTTGTTCATAGCCTAGCCCGCGCCTGTGCTGCACTCGTCTTTTGTTGACCCAGTTGGGAAGAAAGCCGCTCTGCTTGTAAGTGTAACTGCCGCATCTCATGTTTGAAAGCTAGAGCATCCTCTTCCGTCTCCTCTGCGGTCACGGTGTTGCACTGTTCGGGTATGTCGTGCGCCATTTGAGCCATAGCTTCGCATTGTACGATCTGCACCTTCTTATCCCCGTCAGCATCACTCTGTCTTTCCACGCCAAAGTCGTTCCACTGGTCGTAAGTTGCCTACATGGTCTTCGTCGAGGCCCTCGCCCTCTGCACGCGAGAAGCCCGGCGATTCGATGCATCTCCTGATGGTCTTTGTTTTTGTTCGAGCCCCTCGAAGGTGCAAACTCGATCCTCCTGTATTACCTGCCAATGTCGTTGTTTATATA